TATATATATATATATATATATATATATATATATATATATATATATATATATATATATATATATATGTTTTTGCGTATATGTGTGTGTGTGTCATTTCTTATGTCGGATTAGGTAGATCAAGAAGTAGATACGCTCCTAATGACAACCCCCTTGAAAGAATTTCAACTTTCTTCTGCCATGTTTTAAAGGAAGCGTTAAGTTAAATCAGAGCGCCACAAAACCTTGTAACGGATTCGATTACATGTGATTTTCGAAGGCTCTACCTAAATAAGTGAAATTTTGAATATGTTATGAGCTGCACACTGTTGTGGTTAGATTCATTCCTTCAGTTGGCGTGACTCGTACTAGTAATACTCATGCAACTTTATAACTTTATAACATTGAATCCCCAGGCGAAAATCGCATTCTTTTTGAAAATATTTCATAGCGATCTTTCTGCAAGGAAATTGCCGGTAAAAATGTACCGATAACCTTTTACAACTACGATGCCTAATCCAATGTGTTTGTCGCACTTGATTCTGGCAAATTAAAAAAAGAGGATGGTTTTACAAGTCACGATCTAACTATCAATCCAATTCCCGAGGGAACTTCCTGAGCGTGTCAGTGTATCTCTGCTCCTTAATGATCTCATATTTCCTTCGGAGTGTTAGTTTCAGTGAGTTTGTGTTGTCAGTAGCTACAGCCTTTCCCGTCTCACTTCTGGCACAATACCGCTTATGATCATCTGTGATTTCAACTTCCAGGCTTGAATCCGTGCAACGTTCCTGAAAATTTTGTCATTATGCCTTATTTTTGGGACAAAACCCTCTTTTGAGTGCATTTCCTGTGTGCAATCGAAATGAATAATTCCCTGTAAGGAATTGTATGCAACATTTGCGCTTGAACTTGGTGTGATCAAGTTCGAAGTGTTTTTTCTTTTGTTAACCGGAATATTATTTCTGTTCCTCGCTAATAAACCACCTCCGAGTTTTCGGCGGCTTGTAGTTGTTTCGATTGAGATTTCACTGCAACATTTCACACTTCCCACTCCCTGTTTTAGCCCTATTGTTTCTTCCGTAAGCCGGATGTGCCAGGTTTCGGTCGTCCAAATCTTCAGAGGCAATTTACTGCATCACAGTTGCTAGAATTCGACCGATCTAAAACCGTTATGTGCGTTCAAAACGCTAAAACTGATTTGAACAACGTCCCTGTAAATTCAGAAGAAGCTTCTCCGGGTACTGTGCAAACAGAGCAACCAAAAGTAAGCGATAATGCCCATTTTTCTGTCCACGCGATTTATTTGTTTGTATCTATTTTAAATTATAATTCCTCAACAGCAATTCTTTGCAGCATCATTCTTACGAGGCTGAGTAAAAGATACAGAAGATCGAGTTATCTTTGGTTAAAACCAGAGTACGTTCACAACGGTCAAGACCACTCGACCGTAGAAGGTTATTACCAAAGTCGTGCATCTCAATTTCTTTCCAACCTTAGACCACTGAACTTCTCTATCTTCTTTTCGAATCCACTTTCAACTTTCCTTTTTTCTCCTATTCTTCATCCCAATGGGCAGCCAAAAGACAGCAACCAAAACCGGCGCACGAAAGTGCATGGTTAATAGTTGTTCAAACTGAAACTGAAACTCAACCAAAGTCACCGTGGCTATTTCAGTCCGATGTACATCCTTGTATGATCGATGGTTTTGCTAATAGGTACGCTCTTAAGACCGATAACCATTCTCCAAGACTGAATGCCAATCGTAACTCTGAAAAAACGTAAGAAAGGCGTGGCAACCCATTGGGAAACATCAGTGATTACCACTTTTGTATTTTTCATTCGTTGTTCACATCTCCAGGGAAACCCCCTATGGTGCTTACCATCACTTATATGATTTCAGAATTCAGCGTAGTTGCAAGGTATTTTCTGTGTACAAAACGTAGGGATTCGGTTAGGGCGACACGCTCTATCTATCACTATCTATCCATACGTCCTGTACACCTGTAGGATGTGGGGCTTTTTGTACTTCCGGAATTAGGGATCATGAACATCACGGAAGTCTTGTTAAGACCTGTCTCAACTTATATCCTTTTTGTGTAATAATTCATTATTCCTGTCAGGACACTGATAACTGAACATCGGTGCGTATCACTCAAGGGTTCCGTTTGTTCCTAGACTTATTTTTCTAGCGCAATTGCACTCGTACTGTCTCACTGTGTATCTTTCCGGATTCTTATTATCTTCTCCAGGGTGCGAAATTGGCTAAACTGGTGGCCTGGTTGGAACGCAAACGACAACAAGATACAAAGGAACTAATGCTTAAACCATCAGAAGACCATCTATCCTCCAACATTGATACTGCTGCCACACCGGTCTCGTCGACATCTCCTTCCACCGCTTTTCCTGTTGGATCAGTGCGCTCCTCTACTGGTAGAGGACGTCCAGTACGTGGTTCACGTGGCCGTGGACGACCTCCACGTTCCGCTTCGCTAGTTCAGTCTGTCACAAATCCCATTGAACTTACCTCCATCGAAACAATGACACAGCCAGACGAGTCGATTTGTTCCATTGCACCAGTTTTTGAAGCTAAGCACGTTTCTGACGCACCTGCCGAAATTTTACCAGTGCGCTCAGTTGAGACGAATTCTCAGACTAGTCAGATCGATTCGAGTAATCCCACCCTAGAACCAGCACATGGAGTCTCACCCTGCATCGAACCCGAAGTTTTGCATCCTGACAAACAAGAACTCTCGACTCTGCCAATAAACACCTCAGAAAAAGAATTCGACATTTCCCATTCTTTGTCGATCGAGAAAATTTCAGATGTAGAATCGAATGAAGCAAAGGTATTACATGACTCTTCCGTTACTTCTGAGACAGATGGATTGTCTTCAAGAAGAGAAGACATCACAATGATACCTGGTCATCAGTCGTCGCCATCAATTTCTGTGATTAGCGATCGAACTGATTCGCAGTTGGTTGCTCCAACCAATGATTCACAATGTGATGCCTTACGTCCTGAGTCGAACCCAAATGTGCCCACGAAGGATCAAGGGCCGGTTACGTCTAGGAGAAAGCGTACTCATGCGCGTAAACGTACAACATCTGAACCTAAACCTGTGTTGACTCGTCCCGTTTCTCAGGACGGTCCACGATTTTTGTCAGATTCCGAGATTTCGGAAGCTGTACCCATGCAACTGAATTCCCTAATCGTCGGTCAAATATTGCCGATTTCAAACCATCCATCATCTGACTCTCGAGATCCAGGTATAACCGTTCAACCATTCTTAGAATCGGCTGTGATGAAAGATGTTGAGCCTGTTGAGCCTATCTATTCACCTGACCAGCCCAATGTTTCTGAAAAGCTTTCAGATAGCGTGTCCTCGTGCACGGAACCCATTATCGATTCCAATGTCAAGAATGTTGTATGCTCGGGGACTATATGTGATGAAGTTCAACCAGAAGAATCGATCACGACGCACAACTCCAATCAGCATCCAGGAAAACCAACCGAAAGTGCGGATGATAGTCCAAAATATTCTTCGGGTAATGACACAGATCACGAGTTCCACCGTGAAGAACAACTTGTGGTTCCGGTGGAGAAAGGCAGTTTCGATTTACCAGGAACACCCGACAACGAAATTTCCGGGCACACGGCTGAAATCAAGGAGGAATCGGAAAAAGCTGCCGCTGTTAGTAGTGCTTTAGCACACAGTTGTGTTGAACCTTTTTGCAGTTCGGTATCTCTGCAACAAAGTGATCAAACACCTATAGCTGCAGTCGGCAGTGATTTGATCTTCGTAACCGAATCGACTTGCGACAATCAGTTATCCCCTGCCAAATCCACATTATCTTGTGGTGATGTGGGTGATGAGTCGATCTTAGCCACTAGCCCTGTGATTTCCAACGAATCGAGCGCATCACCGAATCTTGTTAAGGATAACGCACCAGATCCGGCTGTTCCTGCAGATGTGGTTTTGGAGTCTGTTGAATCGAACAAACCCGAAACAGTTAACACTGATTCGAGATTATTATCGGCTACGTTTTCATCACCAAAGCATGATCTTTCTTCCGGTTTGTCGCCTGTATCAGAGACTACTTCCGAACTCGCAGATCCAGTTGATGTTGATCTGCCGGCTGATGATGCGACAGCACCACTCAGTAACGTTGAAGAACTTCCAAGTAGTTCCAATCCTCCGGCTTCTCTAGTAAACATCGACTCCGGCGGTACACCCATCCTGGATGAACCCGGTGAGGATAATAGATTCAACTCGGGCAGCTCTACTTCGGTTCCTACCGAATCAAGTATGGTGAGTTTATCTGATACAGTCAATGCTCTGTTGTTCCCGTTCAGCCATAAGTCAGATAATCCCGGTACAAGTTCGCAGGATTTGCTCCAGTCAAGCATACGTGATCTAGCAGTTCCAACACATCGCCCATCTTCAAGTCCCTACCCAGATGATTTCAACCGGTCATATTCCCACGTTCCATCCAGAGACTCACGACCTGAATCACGTCATGGTTCTTCACATTCGGATCGTCCTTCGAGTCGGCATCAGATGCATAAATCTGATCACCGTCACCATCACTCACATCGACACGATCGGGACAGGCGA